CTTTTGCGTTTCACCCTTTGAATTCGCTTGCCTGTGGTACGTTCGCGACGGACTTTGCACCACCGGAATAATAATACGATTTTGGAGGTTCCTTATTGTAATTGTACTATAAAGGACCCCCCCAAACCCTATGTCTAATTATATATAAGGCTTCTACATTGCCCTAGACCCCTCGACCCTAAACCCCTACACCCTAAGCCATTCATAGTCACCGACTTGTAGCCCTGCTTTCTAAGTAGCCCGAACTGGAAGCCGCTCATGGCTTTCAAAAGGAGTTCTGTGCGCGAGAAGCCTCGCAAGTGCTTGGAGGTCGCAGTACCTTGGGTTGCAGCCTAAACCCTAAACTTGGGGTTTATAGGGTTTAGGGTTTAGGGCCCTAAACCCTATACCTATTGCTGGGGCGGCTTTGGGCCTCGGTGGTGACTTCGGACTCGGCCTTCGAATTGGAGCAGATGGTTTCGGGTGTCGCTGCTTAGGGTTTAGGGGTTTAGGGGTTTCAGGTTTAGGGGCTTAGGGTTTAGCGTTTAGGGGTTTAGAGCTTGGGGTCCCGACCCTCCACAGGTACCTTGGTCGTGGGGTTGCCAGGGTTTGACAGGGTTTCATAGGATTGTGTGTGTATATATATATATACACTCCTGAGCAGCTAGACAGTAGCTAGACGTGGTTCTTGGATTTCTGAATTTCTGCATATACTGCAGCTAGAAACCCTAAACCGTAAACCGTGTGTATAGCTATACAGCGAGCCTTTAAGACAGTTGTTCTCGCCGCTGTTTTGGAAGATGAGCTGCACTTCTATGACAACTCCAGAGTCTAGCGTTCCGCTGATTGGGGCCCCTTTGTGATGGTTTAGGTTTCAGGGTTCAGGGTTTGTAAGTCTGTGCTCGGAGTTGTTAAAATAAGAGTCTGCGAAACAGCAGGTTGCGACCCGACCCTAAAGCCCAAAACCCGGATCCTCCCCAGACCCCAAGCCCTAAAATCCCAGACCCAAACCCTAAACCCTAAACCTTCTTGACCTCGTGCGAGAGAAAGGGGGCTAGTGCATTAAAAAAAACCCTGCAAGAAGAAACAAGAACAGACCCTAAACCCGCAAATCCTATAGGCCCTAAACCCTAAACCGCCCCAAAAGAAAAGCAACAAGCCAAGGCTACATACGGGGCGCGCAGCCCGGGGGGCGAATCGAACGCTGCTGGCGCGAGGCTTTCTAGGGCTTTGTTTTGGGCAGGTTAGAGCAACTATCAAGGGCCGAGCCACTAGAGGTAGTATTCCCTCACACAGCCAGCCCGAAATCTTATTCCGGTGATTTTCATGGTTACGGCCCCAATACATGGGCTTTGAGTAGGGCTATAATGAGGACTGTGCATCTTTAGGTAATGGACCTCGCAGTTGAGAGGGGCGCGGCTCAAGCTAATAAAGGGGCCTTAACAATTCGAATAGCGTTTGGGAGGGGGGGGGGGGNNTTATGATAAGGAACTCCCAAAACCCTACTCTAATTCATTTAGGCCTCTACATTCTGAGGGCCACTTGGGTCTCGTGGTTTAGAGTTCTAGGGTCATCGAGTCTCGGGGTTCAGAGTTAAGGGCCTCAGGGGCTTAGGGTGGGTGCTCGTTGTTGTTTCGTACTGTCTTGGACTTGTAGTTGTGTATGTATGTATGTATATATATATATATAGAGGTACCGATTCAGGAAGAATGTCTGTGTGGAAGACCTTGAGGAACAATCTAGTGATCATTTCGGGGGGGGGGGGTGGCGAAACAATACCTGAGAATCCTAAACCCTCAACCTGAACCGCTAAACCCCAAACCCTGCCGAAACAATAAATACCTCAAACTCCTAAACCCTCAACCTTAACCGCTCAACCGTAAACCCCTCAATCCTATAAATCTTCAACCTACAGCAGAAGCCCAAAAGTTGCAAACCCAATAGCCTCCATCCTGAAGAGTAGTGTATAGGGAATCCCAGCACTATTTGTCCTTAACCCGGTTTCCAACTTTATGGGGTCTACTATAAGACCTAAAGCCCCTGGTCCGAGGTGCGCGTCTATGCCATTGGTGGGGGAAGTCTCTCCGTTGCAACATGAAGCACCGCAGGGTGGTAAATGTCAGTTTCTTGAGGCGGGGGGGGTGGGGGTTTTGGGTCTAGGGTTCAGGCAGGAAAGGGTTTAAGGTTTAGGGTTTTGGGTTTTGGGTAGGGTTTAGAGTTTAGGGTTGAAGGTTTAAGGTTTAGAGCAGGGTTTAAGGATGAGATGGGTCTTCATTAGATTTAGGGACGGACGGTTATATGAGATAATTCAAAAGCCTGAATTCCTTAATTTATGATATACACCAAAACTCTAAACTAATTGCTATCGCTCCTATCTAAGGATATCTAAAGGTGTTTGTAGCTGGGTATTGCGGCGAGGAGTGTATATTGAGCTCCAACTGAGTGATGGTGGTTTATAGACTTACTTGTGGGGATACCTGTTATCCAAGGCCCTACTCCACGCAAGTTATTTATCAAACTTGAACCGTGAAACATAAACCCCAGCACTGAATCTGCGACACCACTAAGCCCTCGAGCCAGAATCTCAACAGACCGTCATGTCCCTTGAACACTATACACTAAATCCTAAACCCTATACCCTAAATGATTCATGTCGCTTGAACTCTAATGTAGGCTTCAGGGTTCAGGACCTCAGCTTTTTGGGGCTGAGTATTCAAGGGTGGCGATCGAGGGTTCAGGATCACAGTTTCATGTCTGGGTTTCAGAGTACTATGCCCTAAACCCTTTACCCTGGAAGCCTAAGTCCTAAACTCCTAAACCCTAAGCACCAAACCCTAAAACCCTAAGCCATAGCGGTTTCGGGTTTAGGGGTTGAGGGTCTTGGGGTTCAGGTTCATGAGTATACGGGTAGGGTTTTGGGTTTTGGGTTTAGGGTAAAGGCAAATATTAATATGGAGTTGTTTAGAGCCCAAATCAACTCGTCAAGCCCCACAAAAACTTTTCAATCCGGCCCTTGAGCGGTGAGACTGACGCAGGGGCCTTAATAATTAGAATTG